TGGAGACTAAGGTGTGTCTGATACAGGCCATGGGATTTGCAATCACTTCTTATGCATCATAGTTTGGAATATATCTGAGAAAATGAGAACTGAGTAACAAACAGATTTGTACACCAATGGTCACAGCAGCATTATTCGCCATCACAAAAACATGGAAATAGCCAAATGTCCAACCACAATTGAATAGATTGAGAAATTGTGGTACATTCACATGAGGGAATACTATGCCTTATGCAGGAACAATGATTTTTAAAATCTCTGACCAACTTGGGGGGGACGACGGGAAAGCATTATGGTAAGTGAACTAACTCAGTCCCATAAAGACAAATATTGATCATTATTAGACAAATAAGTATTGTAGAAATAGAAATAACTAGTAAAATGTGTATAAGGATCCAAGGTGGGTGAAAAGGGGTTGACGAGGGGTGAGGATATGTGTAAGGGTTAATTATAACCACTTAGTTTGATGCATGGAGGGAGGGGTGTGTTAAGGAATTGGAAAAGACCAATGTGAAAACAATGTATACGAACTTTGTAAGTAGACCAGTACAAAATAACATTTTTAAAATTTTTTAAAAGAGAGATATTATGATGGGAACAACCAAGTAGAATTCAACATCATTGTCCCTACCGAAAAAACCAGAAAGCAAATTAATTAATTAATTGATTAATTAATTAATTGTATTCTTCAGAGGAGTAGTACATCACAAACTTGAATTCAAGAGATGCATTTCTACACTATCACCATTCAACTTGCCTGTTTGGCCTATACAGATAACAGATGAATCTTAGAGAATGATAGTGGATTATTAGAAATTTACCCAAGTGGTGACTTCAATTACAACTGCTTTTCCAGAAATATATTTGTTGCTTTGAAAATTATCTCCAGGAACTTGGTATACAGCTCTTAATCTGGCAAATGCTTTTTACTTAATTTATACTTTTAAAGATCATCATAAGCAATTTTCTTTGAGCTTGCAAGGCCATATATATACCTTGACCATCTTCCCTCAGATATATGTTAATTCTCTTGCACTTTGCCATAATTTAACCTTCAGAGAATTTGATCAATTTTCTCCACTATAATATACCAATACATGGATCCACTACATGCATGACATTATGCTGATTGAACTTAGTGACCAAGAAACAGTGACTATATATATTGATAGCACATTTTCATACAAGAGAGTGATGAATGAATTTTATGAAAATTCCAGTACCTTTTAGATCAGCAAAACTTACTTGGGTTCATTGGCTTAGGGTATATCAAGGAATAATTTTTAAAGTGAAGAATATGTTTTGCATCTGGTAGTCACACTGCAAAGCAGTCACAATATCTGGTGATCCTTTTTGGATTTTAGAGGTAATATACTCTCATTTTAGTATGTTACTATTTCTGTAATTCAAGCAATATGTCAATTTTGACTGGTGTCTAGAAAAGGAGACTATAACAGACATAGGTTCTTTGTCATTTTATCTATACATTAAGGAATACAAAGCTTGAAAAGGAAGTGGCAGACAGAAAAGCTGTTCGGAGGTTTCAGTAGATATCTCTATATATATTATAGTGAAGAGCCTTATAATTTTGGAGCAAAGTAGTAATATCTTCTGCAGATAAGTCTTTTCCTTATAATAAAAAAATTCAACAACAAAAAAAACATCTTTTGGAGTAACAGTGGCAAAGTTTAACAGGGTAGCAAGCTATAAATGTTGGAGAGGATGAGGTGAGAAAGGAACTCTTTTTTTTTTTTTTTCAGTCTTTGCATTTACTTCCCCCACAGCAAATTCTTGGAACTGTCTTCATGTACACACACCAGGAAATGGTGCTGATTGAGAAGATGCTGGCTTTAGCCTCATCAAATAGCTGCTTGAGCTGCCTCAGGCACTCAGGGAGATACTGAGTGTGTGGGCAGTTCTTTGGCCTGCTGCCGCAGCTCTCCACCCCCATCAGCTATTAGAGCAGGTACCAGGTTGCTTGCTGCCTGAATTCTTAAAAGCGGTGAGGGCAGAGCTTGGACCTCCTCAAGGCACTCATCATAGGCCTCCTGGTATTCCTCATGGGGCTTGACCATTATCACACAGGTGGGGCGTTTGGAGCCAGCTGCTGCTCCCAGGTCCGTTTTAGAAGGGATATAAACATAGGGCAGATTCTGGTCCTCACACATAACTGGAAGGTGGCAGTATACCTCCACAGGAAGTGTGTCTCCTGCCAAAACCATGATCCCCTTTTCGCCTTTGTTGATAAATTTCTGAACCTCCTTCACGCCGCGTCGAATCTGTTTTTGCTTCACTGCTTTCTTGATGCACTTGTAGAGCTTCCGCGTGAGGCGGCGGGAAGCTAGGGGCTGCGGGATGGGGTTCAGATTGACCAGCAGTTCATGGTATGTGCGTTCCCCGCAGGCCGTCTCTGCTGGAGCTTCCGGCCCATTTGGATCTGACTTTATTTTGGTCATGTCCGCAGCCGCCCCAATATTCTCGCCGACTTGAGAAAGGAACTCTTATACACTGTTGGTGGGATTGCAAAATGGTACAACTATATATAGATGATATAGATATAGATATAGATCTCTATATCTATCTATCTATCTATCTATCTATCTATCTATCTATCTATCTATCTATCT